CATTATGAAGATTTTGCACAGTATTAAAGGTTTAACAAACGGTTCTTAAAGACAGTCCTCATAGAAAGGAAGACATTTGAATTTGCATGTGTTTATTTATTGCATCCAGTTTGAAGGAACTCAACTAGCCACATTGAAAAGACTGTGTTAAAACATGAAATAACTAAATTGTATGGAGAATTAATGAAACTTGTGATCTTGCAGTAGCACATTTTGATAGTAGGAACAAACTGAGCCAACGAAAATGGCTCAATAAGGAGTATGCTAGGATAGCTCTTTGAATGCTGGGTCACAACAAGCTCTTTGCTGTGCAGGCCCCCAGAAACATTTCTCAGCCCAAGCTGAACTTGTGTTTATTTAACTTTACTGTGGTATTTCTTCCTGCTTCTGAATTTATCAATAAAATCTGGTTCTATTTAAGATAACTTGTGTATGTCTTGGATAAAGCAAACAAACAGAAAGCTCCTTTACATTTTCCTTTGGGGGAGTGAGTAGGACTGAAGCAGTTAATGGCCTTGTGGTTGGGCAGTTCATGGGATAAGTTTGAGAGTCTCCCTAAACATGACCAGGGACTCCCAAGAGTTGTTGTACACAAAGGAGAAGGTAATGATAGAAATATTGAATGTGTTTGCTACAAAGAAAATACACATCTGTAATGTGGCTTTAGTTTAAGTTAAGCTTGACTTTGTAATATGAAATGGTCTGGATCATGTTGGGAGCAGGAAATGTATCATCCGTGTGCTGTTTTAGTTTCCATGTAACAACCTCACCTTTCCTATAGGTTATGGTTTCTACTTTTCACTCAGTAAGAAACAGGATTTATGTTAAGATGCTGAATTTTTAATGTTGAAAGCCAATTGAACATTATATGCTTTGTAAATCTGCTAATATTTTGATGCTAGAGCCAACTGGATTTGTACACAAAATACTTGTCTTGAGCTGTGTGACTGTAGGGCAGAAAATGAAGAGTTGGCTGTATGGCCCACTGAGGCCCAGTGAGAGCCACACTTTAAATAATACATGTGGAACATCCACAAATTATTTTTTTGTATATTTAATGGGAAGACATTATTATTATTTTTAGTCTTAAAGGGGCCAAGGGGTTAAGACAAATCTACATAACTGAACAGCCTGTAAAATGCAAGTTGGGATGAGATTTACAGGGCGGTCACAGCTGCAGAAAATTGTGTCAGAGGAGAAAAATATTCATGGGATTTCAGGTTTATGTTGCTTTAAGGGAGGTAAGTACTTCAGTTACCAGCCCATTTGTAACAAAAATTTTGTGTTTTAAACAGGAAGAACTGTTAATATTCACAAAATCTGTGCACTGCCCAGGTGTTAGTAAGATGGAAAACCCAGCAGTATTAGTGTAGCTATACTTTATTTTCTGGCACTACTTATTGTGCTTGTTATGCTTAAGACAAGCAGTTAGTCCTGTTGTGTTTGATCACGTGCAGACACAAGTAGCGGATAGTCTCTCTGCCCCAAAGACTTTCCTGTCTGATTGGATAAGGCTACTGGAGAGGAGGATGTAATGCACAGACTTAACAGGATCTGATAGAACATGTTATATTGGTTAAATGATTTTTTTTTTTTTTAAGTGTGGTTAAGAAGTGGTAAGTCAACTAGGATGAAACACTCAAAGAAAGAAGGCAAGGTTAGGTGCTGGGTAGAAAACCATGCAAGGGTGCTGTTGCAGAGTATAGTTGAGGAAGGAGCAGTGGGAAAGAGATTCAGAACAAGCAGCTGAGGAACACAGGGTTGAAGTCCTGCCAAAATCTGGTTGCTCTATGCATTCTGTTTTGGCAGCTTCTGTAGCTGCTCTTGCAGTCTGGCGTTTCTGGCTTGTTCTTTCCCAGCAGTTTTTCTTTAGACAGTACGGCTGGAGAAGAAAGGAAAAGCAACACACAAGTTCTCGCACTGTGAAAAGGATGTTCTCCCTTACGTACGTTTTTATGCAGGGCAGTCCAGTAAAGAGGAATTATCCTTTTTGAGACCTTTTTGGTTTTTTTGGTCTCTCTTTGATTGTAATAGCTCCTGAACCTTGCCATAGTCTGGCCTTATTCATGCCTGTAATACTACAGTTCGTGCATCAGTACCCGCCTTTGGAGCCCCATTCTATTGTTTTCACCCATGAATTTTTTAAAAATTCATTCTAGACTACAAAAGCTCTAGAAATGGTGAGCTGTGTTTCTTTTTCTAAAATGGAATTTAGAGTAATTTATTGTACTACCCTACCTCTGAACATATTTTTGCCACTTCTGCTTTTTTTATGTTGCTTTATGAGTGACCCCATAACAGAAACAAACTAAACAGATGGAAATGATGAAACAAGCAAACTTGAAATAGCCATCAAAGTACATCATATAAATTACCTAAGACTAGACACTTTCTGAAATATACTTTACAGTATTCCTAAGTGTTCATGCTGACAATAATATCTAAAATGTATTATGTTTATGTACTGTTAAAAGATGAAAGATAGCTAAATGAAACATAGCTAAATTATAGAGTTACTTTTGATTTGACCTCTAAAGCGTGTTGGGGTACAAAGGTAGCAAATCAACCTGTCAGCTTGAAGCTTTTTTTCCCTGTAGAACCTGTAAATAGTTTAAATATTCTGTCACTTTTCTTTTTTCGGTTCTTATGAATTCTTTCTTGGAAGCTATGCCTTAGCACAAATAATCTTCTGTGGTACTATGCTGGCTTTGTGTTTTTTCATACTGTGCAGGAGCTTTGAAATATATGAAAAACTACTGTATTTTCCAACTCATGAGATGTGTAAATGAGGATATGCAATTATGTATATATCCCACCCACTAAAGTATGTAATAATTAATGATCGTTGAATTCAGACCAAAAAAAGATTTAACCTTCTCTTTTGGTGGTCACTTTAAACTTCAGTGTGAGAGAGATCCTGATATAAGATCAAATGAGTAGAGAACCAAATCTAGGTATGTATTACCGCAAATACTGGTAAATGTAGAAGGATATCTGTTTCTCAATAACAAGTTCTGATTAAAATCTTCTGTGTTTAGTATTGCTGTTTACTGTAGCATGTCTGATAGCTGCTAATATAGATCAGCAGCCCTGACGTTTTTACACAGCAGATTTTTACATGGCAAAATACAGAAGAGAAAAACAGAAATACAGTTGTGGTCAGATGATTTAGTCCACTTAAAGTTGACCAAGACACACAAAATTTGCTGAAAATCAGTAAGTTAGTCAAGTGAAGCGCAGTCCAAGTTTTGTCGTATCAAGATTTCTGTGTTGAAATCAGCAAAACAGCAGTACCGTAGGATTCCTGTGAAGAAGTACGTTATTACTACAGATTCATGAGATATTGTAGTCTGCCAAATAGTGATTAGTCAAGGAAAAAGTAAAATATTACAGAGTGCTTTCAGGCTTGTCATAGAAACAAGAAGGTCAAAATACTGCAGGACACAAGGCAAATTGGAAGGGTGTTTGAGATTGTTCTTAGATAAGATATGGGGAAGTGGAAGGAATATTCTCAGTACAACCCGTGACCATGAAAACATACTGTACATCATGCTGTTGTGTATGTGAAATCCTTTTTGGTATTTTTGGGTTGTAAAGATGAGTAAATGAAAAAAGGACAGGATGGCAAATTGTCTTAATGAGATGCAGACATACTGGGGCTATGAAGAAGGCACTCCTGCTAGTTGTTGTCATATAAGCATAGAACTGCTTGAGCAGAGGCTGCGTACAGAAGGAAGTGTGCAGTTCATCACACCTTATCAGAGCTTTTGCCCTTGGATGTTTCCTGTCATAAACCTTTGAAAAGTGTTATGAAGAAACACCGGAGTAAGTGGGTGATGGACAGATAATCAGGTGCTTGCACTGCAGGGAGTTTCAAAGGCCTTGCTAGACAGGCTTGTCTGTTGATTGAAACTTTTGAAATGGGTCATAGCAGAAGCAAAATGTAGCATTAACAAAGCACTTGCTGGTAGTGAGGGTGACTGTACAAGACATTTGAGAGCTACAATCCTGAAAAGAGAGAGGGAGACTTCTGTGGTTTCAGTGGTTGTGAAAATCAAGATGACGTGCATTTAGTGATGAACTATGAAAGACTACAGATCAAAGGTAAGAAAACAATAAAGCTTGTCTTTACTGCTGTAAAGTCATATAAAGAATGTACAATGTTTTACTGGAAGTAATCATTACAACTCAAACTGAATAATTTTTTTTCACCACTTTATCTTTGAGGAATTGATGGAGAAGAGTGTCTTCTGCATAGAAAACATGGTACCTGTTGTTAATTTTAGGATTACTTTAACTGTGCTTCCATCAGTGTTTTAATAATAGTTACAGTCCTGCTTCTTGGATTCTTCCTCTTTAGTTGTTAGGAGGACAACTCTTATGCTTCCTGTTCTGAGGCACTGCCTGAATTTGTGCCAGTGCAGTCATGATTTTACCCAGTCTTCATCCATTTCCTTATTTGTTTAATGTTAACGTCTATGTAATGGCTACATAGTCATCAGTCATGTTTTCCCATCATATTCTTTTATAGTGGCAAATTTACCGTGTCTTAAAGTTAATGAGTGATAGATCTGGAGTTTGTTTCCTGGCAAGGTGAGGAACATCAGATAGGAGCAGCAAAGTTTTCCTGTACCCTGATGTAGCTCTAACTCATGTCCTTGTTGCCAAGGCGTTCAGTGATGGTATATCAGTATCGATGTTGCTTTCCTATCAGATGAACATTGCTTTGAAGTGCTTTTCAAGTAAAATGATGAAGCGTCTGTTCTGGTAATTGCAGCTGGATGAAGAATAATTGTTGGTTCTAATAAGATAATTTACGGAAAATGTTTAGTTTTTTTAATCTACAAACATTTTTACCTGTAATAGTCCATTTATACCCGTAGGCTTATTTTAGTCTTGTGTGGTGTTGGCCATCATAAAACAGAACAGACTGGTAATTACAAAAGTGACTTTGTAATGATTTCTTTTGACTCATGATGGTGGTTGTTGTTGTTGTTTAGGAAACCTGAATTGACTGACTCTGCCTCTCTGCTAGAGACCTTCAAGTTTCTTGAAAATGCAGCTGCAGACTTTAGTGATGAAGAAGATGAAGAAGATATTGAAGGAAGAGAGAAAACAATCATTGATACTGCAACAGTGAGTGGAAAAAATAATTGAAAAAGTTACGAAGAACAGAAAAAGTGAGATTAATGAGATGCCTGTATGCAAAGTATATGACTGTGTATGTACACGTGCAAATCATTAATGCATCTTTATGATGGTCTGTCCAAGCATGTGTGCATAAGAGGAGTTACATATGCATTTCTGAGGTTGTGCATATAAGTTAAGCTTTGCCTTCTGCATTGCTTTAAGTTTGTGGGGACAGATTAAAGTTCTTTAAATTTTTTCTCTTATTCCATACTGTCTAGTATTTTTGGTATATATTGGATACAATTTTTAAGGTAGTAGATGTCCTCTTTTTAGAATTTTCAACTTAGTTTGAAGGTATTGTTTGTAATGTTGCATGTGAAAAATGCATTGTTTCTTGAATATTTGTATAAATATATTGATATTTAAAATTACTTGTAGGAATTTATCCTTGTAGGGTACAGAAGTGAAATACCACATTTCTCTTTAAATAGCTTGTGGAGGAAGAAAAAGTATAACTGGAAAAACTCTAATATGTGGTTAATAAACTTTTTTGTTTGTTTATTTGGTCAAATGCCTGAAACTTCCCGATGATCTATACTTCCTTATATGATTGGGTCATGTGGTCACATAAAATATATACATATAATCAGGACTCAATTTTATCCTCTTCTTTTCAAAATTAATATTTATTCAATGAGTTGTGTTTCCTAACAATTGAAGCAGATAAGAGTCATGATGGATGTGATTGTTTCTATGATCAGTTTTAAGAATGAACACTTACCAAACCATCAGTTTTAAAAAGAGTTTTTGAAGAGGATCTTTGTAAACTTGTTCCTTTCATCCATGGGCTGTGAACTAATGTCTGAGACTCTTCTGTAAAATCATCTGTAATACAGTACGTTCAGTAAGCCTTACAAAGGAATGAAGCTTGAAGTTTAGAATTGTTTCAGGTTTTGAAATTGGCTCACTGTATTTAGAGGAAACAGTTGTTCATCCACATGAACTATGGGATATTGGCCTATGCACTGAAGACTTTTCAGACTGACCCTTAGCAAGGTTCCAAGTCAAAGTATTGTGATGAATGTAATTTTTCTTCTTCTGCAGAAGCAAAATTTATGCTACAGATTTAATGTATCATGTCATGAGCTCACCTGTTAGTCAAATAACTATAAAGCATCTAGTACATTTTAGTTAATAAGGGAAAAGTAAATTTATTACAGAAAGCATACAGTGAGGCCCTTCATTAAAACATATATTTTTTTCTTTTACCAAAATTCAGGAAGTTTTTTTACCAAATTTGCTTTTGAATTTGAAAAGAAAGTGCAGTTTAAACATGGAAGTACTGTGCTTAAATAACAGTAATTCAGGGTGGAATGATGTTTGCCAAATCTAAGCAAATTAGCTCTTGTGAGTTTGTTGGGTTTTTTTGGTTTTTGGTTTTTTTCCCCTAGACTTGTCTTTTGGCCCACATGTAGAGTGATTTCAGAAGTGAGAGTTGAACAGGCTATTTTCAGAGAAGCAGAGTGAGTTTGGTTCTGCTGAAGTTCTTTACAGCATTCTGGGCTTTTTGTTTGTGGGGTTTGTGGTTGGTTTTTTTTTTTTTTTTAATCTGTTTTAAAAGAAAGTTTGTACTTTGGTATTAAAATCAGTAATGGTCTAGAACAGTGTAGATTCATTATCAAGTGATTGATTATTGGTGGACACAGGAAGACCTGAGAGACAAATTTAAGTTTGGCTTAGAAATTTGCTTATTCCAGATTTGCTTATTAATGTATGCTTTTCTGCTTCTGCACTTCCTGCTAGGATTTTGCAGAGAATACAAGACAGTACTGCTTGGTATAAAAGATGCATGTGTAACTTAATTCAGCTTTTTTCTCTCCTTCCTGACCTTTCAGATTGTAAGGAAAAGAGTGCTATCTGACAGCAGTGAAGACAGAGACACAGAAGAAGCTTTGAAAGAGTTTGACTTTTTGGTTACCTCAGATGAAGGTGATGGGGAGTCAAGAAGTTCAGGAGATGGAACAGACTGGGGTAAGGAAATGTCATGGAATGTATTGTGAGGAAAAAAAATTACACTAAGAATGTATTGTGATATCTGTCATGATCACAGCACCTTTTGAGTATTCCTACAGTAAATAATGGGCAGACTGAAGTCCTCTTGTCATAATATTCTCGTTTTTGTCTATACTGCTTTAAGGATTCTTCAAGGTTTATGCTTCTGGTCATTTTCCTTTTTTAATGATAAGACAGAATTTGAATTTTATGAGTGGAATTTCAGTGTGTTTTTTTCCAGTGACCCATGCTAATGAAGGGCTCTGATAAAGCTGTATTTTACAGTTTTGAACATGAAAGTTATTTCATCATCTTTGCTTTCTCCAGCTTTGATGCAGAGAGTAATGTGAGTCATAAAGACTCAATTAGTTGTGCTTTTATTGCGTGTTGGCAGTTTGGGCAATATGAACAATTCAGTTGCTCAAATTATCTTTTATGATTTATCAGAAGAATATATCTTCAAGCCTCCTAGTCATAGAGCCACAGTTCACAAACTGTCCTTTGAGGTTCATGTCCTGAAACCCAGAATGCCAGCATCCACTTTACCTTGATGTAGTTATTCTGCATAAACCCTTTGCATAGGAAAGGGAAGAAGGAACAGAACTAGTTAAGGAACTTGATGGGGAGGTTTTTCCTCCTTAAGTTGCTCTGGAAAGTCTTAAGCATAAGTGGACACAGAGGGAGCTATGGAAGATGAATGGGAAATAATAATAATTGAGCCTTATTGAAATCTTGACAGATAAATAAGCCATGATAGCTGTGGCTCTCAGATGAGCTAAGAGCTCTGAGATGCTCTGTTTCACTGAAGCCATGTCCTGGGCTTGAAATTATTGTTCAGCATGGTGTAGCCTCTCTGCTTCAGAAGGTGCATCTCAGTATCATTAGATACAGCAGTTAGTATTCTGTTCACCAAACAAATTTAGGAATGTTACTCTTCTTTATGAAAAATATTTTTATTAGGTTGTTCTAATAGTTCTTGTTAATATTAAAATGTTATCCATTTATGCTTGATAAGTGTAGCTGTTGCTTGTGTCACTGAAAAGTTAGTATGCCAACAGGAGCTTTTTTGTTCTCAAATTCACACTTCTTGTTTATTTTTACTTTCATTGATGACAGCTCTGTACAAATGAGCACAAGTCTAACACTAAAATGAAATTTTCATGGAAAGTAGTAGTTTCATTTCTAGAAATACTAAGGGGGTTTTGAGCTGTAGACGTTCATGGTTTTCAATTCCTTGTTTCACAACCTGTATCTTTTATGGTAACAGTATAATAAGAATAAAATTCAAGGAACTGCCGTTATGAATCGCTTATGTTAATTAGATTTAAGTGAAACTGTTAAATGTAACAGAGAGTGATGCTGTGTAGTGAGGATAGAAGGAAACAGAGGAAGTCCTTGCTTCATTGTTGATCCCAAGCATTACTGATCAGTTACAGTAAGCTGTTGAACCCATTTGGCTTGAAAGGTCCTCTGAAGTGTTCAGGTAATTTTTAAGATACAAAACACTTCTACCCTCCTGACTGGAGGGTTCAAAGGAGATCATCTAGTCCGACTTCCTGCTCAGGTCCATTTGCAGCAGGTTACACTGGCCTTCTTCCTGTCAAGTTTTGAATATCTTTCAAGAAGGAAGTTCTCGGGCAGTATTCGGGTATTTGACTGTCCTTGCGGTAAAAAGTATTTTGTCCTTCTGTGGTGCAACTCTGAGCAGAGTCTGTCTCTGTCTTCTCTACGCCTGCCCGTTAGGTAGCTGTAGGCAGCACTAAAATGCCTCCTTTGCCATCACTGAACACACACAGTACTCTCAGACCCTCCTTGTAGCTCATCAGATCCAGCTGCCTTAACCATCTTAGTGGCTTCCCTGGACTTGATGTACTACATCAATACCAGGTACTTAGCATTATAGTTCCAGGGTTTCCCAGTATAAGAAATACTATACTGGATGCAGTACTCGAGGTGTGGTCTCACCAGTGCCAAACAGAGGGGAATAATCACTATCCCCACCCTGTTGGCAACATTCTTGTTAATACAGCCCAGGATACAGTTGATCACCTTTGCTGCAAGAGTGTGCTGCTGACTTCTGTTCACTTTGATGTTGATGGAGGATCCCTAGGTCTTTTTCAGCATAGTTAATTTCTAACAAGTCAGTCCCCATGTCTGGTATCATCTTTGTATCTTTTGTCTGATCATAGTGACTCCTTCAGATTGTGGTTAATAGTATTGTGCTTCCTCTACAGACGTTTAATACCCTTGCTGCATACTAGCCTGAGAATAAGTTTGCTATTGTTCATGTTTTAAGAGGTCTAGAATAGTTTATTGATGTAGAAAGCAAACTTGGTTTGAAAAGGAATTAATTTTTAAATAAGAAGGTTGAGATTTTAATGAGGAAAACAAAGCAAAAACATAATGCGTTTCAAAAAAAATTTGTAGCTGTAATGGCCGTGAAAATAAATATGTATGAGGAAAAGCTGAATTGCCTCCCTCCTCTCACCAATTATTTTTCTAAGCTGCTTCAGTGGAGTCTTTCCATATATGGAAGAAATGAGTTGGAGATTTGAACTCACGAAACACATTTTGTTCAAAATCTCCAAATACTGTACTATTGGAAGAATACTTCTCTGTATCATGTCACAGGGAAAGCAATTTGAGAGAGGTGTTTTAGGAGGGGAAAAAAATAAAGGTGGGAATGTTTTTTTCATTAGGCATGTTGAAATGTTTTGTGTATTTTTTCAAAGATTCATAACTCAGGCCTTCCGCTCTTTGTGAACTTTCATGGCTTTAGCGCTTTAAGATTTTATTCAGACCTTGGTGACATGTACTATGTTCCAAAATGATTTAAATGTGCTGTTGCTTAGTGTAAATGACAGCATAGCACAAAGATAATGAAATGAGAATTTGAAACGCAGTGTTGCAGCATCTGACTTGTAGAGTTATGTTGACCAGTAACGTAGCTGCTGCTTCTAGATATTATAATTCTTTCCCTGGAGGAAAGAAAAAGCTGAAAAATATGACCTGATTTATTATAAAGTAAATGTTGCTTACGTTTATGAACAGCTATATGCTTGGTTATAGAAATCGGGCATCTGAAATTTCATCTCAATTTTTTGTTAAGAAAATTCTGAGCAAATAGAAGTGGAATGAGAGTAGCAGTTTTACAATTTTCACAAGCTTGGTGCTATTTCTGTCTCTTTAGAATAAAAGACAAATGCCATTGACAGCAGCTGTTACCTCCTTCAGTGGAGATCACTTGGTGACGTTATTGAAAAAGGATGTTTCATTTGTTTCACTTTGTTTAGAAAAGGAAGACCAGTGTCTCATGCCTGAAGCTTGGAATGTCGACCAGGGAGTAATAACCAAACTCAAGGAACAATACAAAAAGGAGCGCAAGGGGAAAAAGGGGGTGAAGAGTAAGTGGAAAACATTGCACCTTAAAATCATAAATCGCACATCTTTCACACCCTTAATTCTATCTCTCTTTCAATGTTTTCCTAAAATTACTTACTCTTTTACTTTGCTGCTCCTGACTGCTTTCCTGTTCACCAGTTCTCAGGGGTTGAAATTAATGACAATCAATCAAGCTACCTGATAAATAGTTGGATTAGATATAAGTTCTTTCAACCAGGTATTGGATTAATTAAAAATTCTTGCTTTGAGCATGGATTACACTTCTGTTATTCAGAAACTTGAATTTTAAAAGGCTTTGGTTCAATAGTTCCCACTTTAATACAGAAGACTGCAGAACCCTTTCCTAGCTGGAAGCATGCCAGTTTCACAGGAAGAGTTAAAGTCTGGTATGTAAATTTAAAAAACAAAACAGAAACTGTCTTGACTATCCTGTTAGATAACAGAGGGAGAAAACAGGTTAATTTCTACCCCTGTTTTTACTTAACATTCACAACATGGAAGTCATGCTATCATCATAATTTGTTATGCAGGGCTCGAAATAGGAAGCAACTTTGACCATCAGTTTATTTGTAAATCACAGGATTTATTTATTGACTATTACACCTGTGGGACTAGCCTTTAAAAATGTTGGGTATTTTTATCCAACGAAAAAACTGTGATCAGTATCTGAAATACAGTTTCTAGCCCTGTATTATATTTTTTATTACATTTCTTGAAATACAAGTCTGTTTCGTAAAAATCAAATGTTTTTTGATAAGTAAAGCTTAAAACTTTTTGAACTCAGATGATGTGTTTAAAATGAAACACTGTATTCACAGCTCTATTTCAAACATCTAACCATATTGAGAATTCATGTGTGAATGATGTAAATTAATTGCATGTAGCCCAGTAAGAAATGTGAGAGATGTTTCTCCCTTTGTGGGAAGATGCTTATGAATACCAAGGAAATTCTCAGTGCTAAAGAGACATACATAATGATAACGAAAGGTGTCAGATCCTCATATCATTGAGACTGACTTGTTTTGTTACTTTTTGTATTGGTACTAAATGTGATAAGCTGCTGCTCAGCAGTTGATCGTGGTGCTGAAGTTATGCTATCAAATAGACAAATTAAACCTTTTTTCTTTTTTTCTTTAAAAAAGTAAATAATTGCCATACTTGAAATTTCTCAAGTGATATTTTTGTCATCTTTGGAATCATTTAAGTTGCTGGAAATTAATTGCAAGTCTGACAAGAAGCTGAGCTGGCCAATTAAAGCGTTTATTTTTCACAAAATTGATTCTAAGTTTCTTCGTAGTTAACATAGAGAGGGCATACCAATATATGACTTCAGTGAAATTGATTTTGCTAACTTGTCTGTTATTTTAAAAAGACAGACATGCTATGTACTTCAGGGTAAGTAGTTGTAGGGTTAACTTAGCAGAAATTTAATCAAACTGTTGAAATTATATTTTTGAACAGCTGTTGAGTGCTTTTTATTTTTGATTATAAAACTTAATATTTAATTGTTAATATAGACATAGATATTACTGGGACATGTTTTACTTATATTTATGAGAAAAATTCCTGATGAAGGGCAGCACTTGGACATCCAGTGCTCCCTCATGAATATGACTACTGCTCAGTACATTGACAGTACCTTTTAGATTGATTGGTTGATCTTGGGAGACCAAATGGTTTACTGCAGTACAGAAATTAAGCATCTTTCCATGGACAAACCATCGTTAGAAGGGCATCAATGCAGAAAAATCAGGAAGAATCACAACCTATTTTCAGCTATTCATGATGTTGCACGTAGTGAAGAAGAATGTGAGAAAGGAAATCCATGGAAAAAGAAGGGACTAAATATCTTGACATTAAATTGTACAAAGTTTATTTCTATGACTTTAATCTCATCATAAATGGTGTTTAGACACTGAACTGCTACTAAGTAAAATATTGTTTTTATAAATCAGTTATTATAGTAAAACAATCTTGCAAAATCCTACTTACTGTTTTCCTGAATCAAGTAATAATTGTGACAGACATGCTAAATACAATTTAGTTTATTATCTGTCATTATGGTTAGGGTGGACAAAGAATTTGCAACTGCATTAGTAAACTTACGATTTTGCAAGGCTGTAGTAAACACTCCTGTGAAGTAATAAGAGAATGGAATCATAGAATGGTTTTGTGAGAGAATAGATATGTTAGAGTACACTTCTGTGTTAAAGCTGCTTAAAAATAGCTGTATTATTTACTGGTCTAGGAAAAAACATAATGGACTATGGGTAAGACATTTTCCCATTCTTAATTAAACTTACAACAGGAAAAACTACCGAAGATATGTTTCAGCCTCAATCCTATATAAAACAGTCAAAACAGGGATGTGGGAAAATGATGGAGCAAAGCACAGGTAAGTGTCGAGAAGGGCATGGGTCTTCACCATATGTAGCTTCAGGAAGTAGGCCAGTGAAACCAGTTGCATTTATGTTTTCATATAAGTATAACTTTTTTGATTATATAGTTCACGATACTACACGACTGCACAAATAAATTTAAAACACTCACGTTGCCATAAAAATATGCAGCACAAAGTACACGATGCACAAATTTTAAAATATTCACAAAGGTCAGCTACTGTTTTGGAAAAGTAAATATTCTAATAATCAGTGTGACTCAGTTGGAGGCATTCTTAAGCATCCCATGCAAGTAACAGTATGAGTTTATAAATGTGGGGAAAAACGTGCGTTCACAATTCTCAGTTGCTTCTATCACTTTCTTTTCAAGAAATTCATTTCATGCTGGACGATTAGTTACTGCTGAAAATATGTGCTCATTAGTTTTTCTGTGATAATGTTGTAATTCAAGGTAGGATCCATTGTTGCATGTGCTGCTGTAGCGTATCTGATGTAATTAGTGCCATCATGAACTATGCATAAACCACTTAATTTTTTTTTTTTTTTTCCTGGCTAGGGCCCAACAGGTCAAAGCTGCAAGATATGCTTGCAAACTTGAGAGATGTTGATGATCTCCCTTCATTACAGCCATCTGTTGCACCTTCTTCTAGGCCCAGTAGCTCAAGGCTCATTGAACACGAGATAAACAGGACAGATGAAGGTAAGCATTAAAAATGTGCATGCACTTTTATAAAAGATAGATGTTTATAGTTACTTCTGCTTAAAGATTATCCTCTTAAGGCTTTCCAAGCACTTTACAAATACTGATTCAGCATTACGAGCTCTAAGTGCAATAAATGGCATTCCCATTCCTCCCCTCTGGTCACTATTAGTAAGGTCAAGACGCCTTCTAAGGTAAAGTCTTGTCTGAATACCTTTGAGCGTGATGGAAAAAACTCATTTGGCACTTGGTGACTTTGTAATATGAGGATCATAAGCCACTTGCTTTTGTTTGTGCTCAGGCCTAGCAGTCAAGTGTGAAATATAAACTCTCAGGACATAAGAGCATCTGTTTTTCTCCCCATGAACATAATTCTAAGTGTGTATGTGTATATGTATACAGACATACACATGTATACGCGTGTTCTTTTTCTAACTGTAACGATAGAGGCTCTGCAGGTGGCAGGTGTAGCTTTTAAATGGATGTGGTGATTGTGTAGTGAATCATACAGACAAACTTACAGCTTGGCAGTGTATTAATTTCCATTGTGTGTTCCAAAAATTAAAAAAAAATTCTCATAGCAGCTAGTCCAAACATGGAAAGCCATGCATCTTTGCAATGAGGCGTGTGGTTACCTTCATTCATATTATCTCTGAAAGTTGCTAAATCATGTATTTGATTCAACATTTGAATTGCTGTAATGTGCAGCATAATAAAATAAATATATGAGACTATATTAATTTGTAAAAGATCATATCATGTGTTCTTTATTTAAACGGTAAATATGTTTTTGGAAAAATTAGTAAAACATGGGTTTCGCTTCGCAGTTTTTCAATGAATGTGAAAAAGTAGGTCGGCCAAGTTATAATTAAGATGCATAAAAAGCCTCTGGCGTGTGGCATAGTTACCAAAGACCTCAGTAGTTCTGTTTCTTACGTGCTTGGTGATTTTCTTTATGAAAGAAGGGGTAACTTAGCAACACTTTGAGAAGTGGAGGAATTTTTTGTTGAATGTTTATTTTCTAAGTTTTTTCATATGTACTGAGAGCCATATTAGTAGAGCTCTATTTTCATGTCCTTTCAGGAATGTGTTTTTTAATTCAGAGACTCAGATGGACTCTCAAAAAACCGAAAAGAGGGCAGCTGATTGTTATCAGTCTGAGTTCAGTATTACAAACTGTTAGCTATGTATTCATTCCTTTATAAATCTGAGATTCTTTGATCTTCTCGGCATGCAATTTTTTTATTCTAGTAACTTTTCAGATTTGATGTCCTGTATGTATTGGGTGGTGAGTGGAATATTACACCAGAAGTTCAAAAGAGAGAAAAAAAGAATGGGGAAGAGAAGGGGGAAGCAGTCTGAACGGATCAGGCTATTCATTATAAACCATAGTTTGGTTGGTTTTAACTTAGTGTTGGTGCTGTTAGACTAAATGAGATGTTGGGAATGACTTGGTGTTTCCTTTTCTCTCTCCCTCTTAGCAACAGTGTTCGCCAAGGCTTTGTATTTACAATAGAGCTAAAAGGGGAAAAAAAAGCTGTAATTCACTGAAAAACCCTTGTAATTTGAGACAAAAAGTCTGTAAAACTGAGTGAAGTCTCTTCTGTCCAGAAGATAACATGTTTTCATTTATTCAGTCCCCCTTTTGTGATATATAGACTTGGAGACCTATTGTACAGGGAAGTTGGTACAGCTCAGTCTCAGCTACTTGAGAGTTGTTCAGTATTTTGGAAGTGAAAAATATGCTTTTACTAATCAACCTTGCATAAGCCCATGTTTCAGCATTTTTTGTTTTGTTTCGTTTTCTTGCAGTGGAAGCTTTAACATTCCCTCCTTCTTCAGGGAAATCTTTCATTATGGGAACAGATGAAGCCCTTGAAAATGAGCTCGGTCTTGGAGAACTGGCAGGTCTCACAGTGGCCAATGAGGCAGATTCACTGACTTACGATGTAAGTGGTTATTAATGGTAACTCAGCGTCCTACTATCTACTTGCTGAAGGCAGATGCAAGTTACAATGTATGTAGACTGGGCAGAAAACATTTTCCTGTTAAAATTATGCTGCCAGAGGATGTCACAAATTTTTACTTGACAGCTCTGTTCTTCCCATGCGCAGCAGCCTTCAAGCTCTCTGCAGGCCCCTCTCCTTCTCTCATTTGCCTGCCATGTCATTCAAATAGTTGAAAGTTGAAAGTAAATGTAATTGGCAGTTAGTGATACAGCTGGATACTTGTAACCCCAGTGATGCTGAGCAAAATTAAGAGTAGCGTGACCAGCAGATTGATTAATCTTGCTATTGCACTGTTCAGCTCAATCAGGGATGATTTTTTAGTATTGCGCGTTGGGGAGGAATTATACCCTTAAGTAAATCTGACTCTTAAGTAATCAGCGTCTGGGATTTTACTATCACAGATCAAATCTGAGATTTCCGAAGTAACCTGCAGGTCCTTACTTTGAAGTTCTATCCTTGTATGCACCTGCAAAGCAATAAGTTATGTAGTGAATAAAAGTTTACGTACATTTGGAGAGTGACACTGCAGAGATGTGCTCTACTACTATAGCAAGTTGCTGAGCATGTGATGTATTGTGAATCATCAGGGCTGCAATGATCTAGAACATCTCTGCTAAAATTCAGTATTTTAGCATTATGTCCTAATTTGGGCTCGGCTCTTAATTTTTTTGCAAAGCTTCCCTAACTTTGTCTCCAAAAAGGCGTAAGATGGTGTACGTTTCATTTCTTTTACAGTTACACCTAAAACTTCGCTGAATTTTTAAATTCAGACGATATGACAAATCTAAACCATCTGTACAAGACCTGAATGCTTTCACTGCTTGACTTCATTGTTCAAGTGTCCATATAAACTATAGTGTGTGTCCATGTCTCCAAAACTTGAACTAACACCTTTCATATGGAATCTAGTGTGTCTTTATCCACCCGTATCTTTTTCTGCGTGATTGAGAATATTAACTTCTGTTTGTTCACTTGCTAAATGCCTTTATGAAGTTCTGTGATCAAGATTTCATAGTCATGCTTGGTTCACCTCTTACGTTTACTAGGGCTCACAATGTAAAAAAAAAAAAAAAAATTGTTTAAAAAGCTCTTTGCTCCTGTCACTGTGCTCTGTATTGAAGCAAAATGAAAGGCTAGTTTTTCCATTTCAAATTTTACTAAAAGTTTAGATTACAAATATTATCTGGTTTTATTTTGGACAACTTCATTCCTTCTTCCAGCTGCCAATTGTCAATCAGGTAGGAGTAGTGGAAACTTAGTATGTTTTTTTTATGTGTCAATTTTAAACCATATGGAGAATGAATTCAAAAGGTTTCATGTGAATCCGTCTTTACATGTATTTGCTCTCAAGCATTGCAGACACTTTCCTATTTTCAGTCCCTTTCCACTTACACTTTTACTGGATTTTTTTCTTCTAAAACATGGCAGCATTAGCCTACCTCATTTAATGGTTTAAGTTTTTTACATGCTGCTTTGACTAACTGTAAATTAAAGAATGGTTTTCACTTGGTAATGGAGATTATGAATTTATTACTTAAAAAAGAAAATTTTCCTTTGGTGGGTAAGTTTTTAGAATAGCTAACAAGAAGAAATTTCCCAGATTGCTAGCCAATGCTCTCTTTTCTTTTTTGCTTCCTTTACACATTGTTGTCTTAACATATGTTCACTTTGGTTCTGTTTTTTTCCCTAATCTGAGTAGATTAAGAAACTTCATAAAATTGTAATGGGCTTTTGCAGATGTGACCCAGGCCCTGTGCTGCTGGTATGGCAGCTGGAGGGCAGGCAGGCTTTGTCCGTCACCTAATTGGCATTAGATGCCTGTGTTGAGGCAACCAAATTCCTCTCCAGATATCTGTGAATACTCTGTACATCTTGTACCCTTTTTGCTGAGACTTTCTTGGCCAATCTCCAGAAAATCTGCCTGAGCTGCTAGCTGTGCAGTACTGCCCCATCCTTGTACCAGCTTGAGCATTTGTCTGTTCCCTCCTTGAGCCAACTCAGCTCAGTAAACTGGGAAAGAAAGGGACTTGGCCCCCTGGGCACCATGGTACATAACTACTTAGAAATACAGTGAGACTAAACCTGCTGTTTGTTATGACTCCTTTCTCATTGTTTTAAATCTATAGAACCTCTTAATTGAAGCATATTTTAATTATTAAATTCAGAAGTAACAAAATTTAAGAAAAAGCACTTTTGTTCTTAAACCTTCCCCTGCCTCCCTCCTCATGTTCCAGAGTAAAATGTAGATTCTTGAAGTGGCTGAAAACCTTTTCTCTTCTTTGCAGTTAATGATACTGAGTTAATGTGGGATTATCTGTAGTTTTCAACGTAACAAAATTATCAATATTTGAGTTACAGTTGTTTGTTTTCTGGTTTTCTGCAACCACCATCATCAGTGGTTATTGGAAGGTAAATTTAACTGTGGCAGTGTTGACTGACAGAGAGATAAGTTTGTTCAAACTTTGAAATAATAATAATAAAACAATAAGTTTGTTGAAATAATTGTTACTTTTTTTAAGGGCTTTCTTTTTGGATCTGCTAAAAATGCATTTATGGCAAAATAATTGTGTCTGTATATACGATAGCTTATTGCTTGCCAGTCATATTCTTAGTGTGTAGCCAAGTCCTTTTTGTTTGTTTGTTTTTTTTCATGGCAAGCTTTACCTGTCTTGCATTGGTACAGAGCTTCTGTTGCCTTAGGTGAGTAAGTTAGGTTGTTTTTTTTCCTGTGCTGCTAGACATTTCTCTGTTTCTCTTAGCTCTTTACTTCAGAGATGCTGTGTCAGGGGTACTTTGGTTGAGTACAGCTTGGTTTGGTCAGGCCCACTGTTAATGGATAAGGCAGTAGGTATAGATCAAATTTCAAATACCAAACTGAGTTCACAGCGCTATCAGTCAGGAAGGTACTTTTCAGCTTTTAGATTGTGTGACTTAACAGACATGTGGAGTATTTCAGATTTGCAAAGAATGTATTACTGTGGAAGTGACATTACTTGCTGCCTTTGTGGAATATGTCTGCCTTCATTCTCATTTGGAGTTGTCTGATCAGTGTTCAATGGACTGTTGCTCAAGAGCAGGTTGTTATGAAAAGTGGGTGAGGCAATTTGACATCTTCTGAAAATGCCAAACTAAATTCCTGATTTCTTCCTTCCTTTGTGCTTTCCAGATTAATTACAAGTTTGGCATTTTTTTTGTATTAGATAGCAAACAATAAGGATGCATTGAGAAAGACTTGGAACCCCAAGTTCACATTAAGAAGTCACTTTGATGGAATAAGAGGTCTCGCTTTTCATCCGGTTGAACCAGTCTTAATAACAGCTTCAGAGGACCATACATTAAAAATGTGGAATTTACAAAAAACAGCCCCAGCAAAAAAGTAAGATTTTTTTTTTCCTTGTTTCAAAAAACATTTTAATTTATGAAAAAATAAATTAATTGTAGATGCCACTTCACTAGGTGGCCCTTGGAGTTAATGAAAATTGTTCTTTGAATTTAAGAGTAGGAAAACAAGCTCTTGGATGGAGACTTCTGAAGAGTGCCAGAAGAAATCCATGTGTGTTTGTGAATGTGTTTTGTTTGTGAAAATGAAAACCGTTCACTTTTTTATATTTTCCGTGTAGATAACAGAGCCAATTAATTTACTAGTGAAAATATTTGGATGTAGCCTGTTAGTGTGCTTGCATGTGTATATAAATGTATAAAAAATGCGTTTTTATATATATATGCATGTATGTGTATACACATGTATCCATCTACATGTGTACAGCTTTAAACTTTGACTGAGATGTTCCTAGGTTCCTTTGTACACCATCTCTTGTGTGTTGCTGGGGATTTGCAGAAATGAGAGCAATTTCTTCACAGGGCTAGTATAGTAAGGGAGTAGATCATGCCTTTTAGAAGGACTGGGCAAAGCACGTGGCCTTCCCACAGTCTTTAACAAGCACTGGTAAAGTTCAAGGCAGCAGGTTTTGAAGTCATTTGTAACTGGGCTACAGCATTGATATAAAAACAAGGTGTCACAAACTCCTTTGGTAGGGATGGGGAACACTTAACAATATATTCAGTGTGATACTGATGGCCTCCATTCCTTTCCCACCATTGATACACCTACCTACTGGTTTGATTGGTGTGTGAGAGTTTGTGGACTCTACCTTGAAGGTCTTCAAACAATAAAACCAAACCATCCAACCAAACCCTATCGTATTTTGAAAGAATGCAAAGAATTCCTAGATATATGAAAAATCATGTTGGGAAAGGAAGTTGTGGGAGAAACACTTCAGAAGATATAGCAGTGATTTTAAGAATTTATCAATTGTGGCAAATTTTTGTAAAGCATTGAGTAAGATCATATATATGTTAACATTCTCTTGTACTTCATTTAGGAGTGCTTCTCTTGATGTAGAGCCAATATATACCTTCAGAGCACATCAGTGAGTATTTCCTGAGAAAGATTGTCATACTTGGAGAAATATATGATTTTTAAACAGACACAAAATTTTTTAAAAAACTAATTTCCACCTTGTCAAGTAGTAATGTCATACAATGCTTTTAGTTCCCGTATTACTTAAAATATCTGCATATGTTAATCTTCTTTCTGCATAATTATTTGTCCGGAAGTACACCACAGTTTTAAAAAGAAAAAACCTACAAATTATACAGTTCAAATTCGGTTTGGTGTTCTGTTCATCACTGCAGCTCTTGCCTTTTTGTCAGATATGTGCATCTGTAGATGAAGCTGTTAGCAGTGAATTTAAATCTACTGAACTGATTTTATGAAAGAACCGTAGATCTTTAAAGAAGGGCAAAAAAAGCTGTTTGTGCAAAGTAACAAAGCCTAGAGTTTTAAAATGTGACACTTAATATTTCATCTGCATAATGATTAAATTGTCTTGATCATAGTTAACAAGTATTGTGGAGATTTTTTTTTTTTGGTGGGAAGTGTAGCATATGATCGGAATATGCAGAATTTTTGTCACAGTCTGTGTAGCAAGTGAATTGTATCTGACAGGGAAATTTGAAAATTCTATTCATGTTGTTTTTCACATAGTGAAAATGTTAATCGTTAACGTTTCTTTTGGGGGGGTTCTTCCAGTGGACCAGTGCTCTGTGTGGTGATGAGCAGTAATGGTGAACAGTGTTACAGTGGGGGAACGGATGGCCTCATCCATGGCTGGAATACAACCAACCCAAACATTGACCCCTACGACTCTTACGGTATGTTGCTGTCACACACACAAGTGAAAAGACAGGTTTAGAGACATTAGTGTTATGTGTCTAAAACAGTATAATTTGTAAGTAATGCTTCCTTGAAAATTTAAAAGAGAAAGTTGAATGTTGCTTCAATTACTTTAACTAAATTATTGTTTTAATACTGATGCTGGTTGATGAGAAGATAAAATTCGTAATTTTCTTTAAAAAGGCCTTGATCTCATCACAATTTTGAGAAACAGCTAGTTTGAAAAAGTACAGGACTAAATCTGATACTTGGCGAGAACAGCAAATGTGTATCTTAATGTTCTGTTCTTCGACAAATCTGTGCAGTTGAGATAAAAAGAGGTTGTGTAGTCTGAGACCAAAGCTGTTAATCTTCTCTGCAAATAGCTAAAACGGCCCAGTCTGGTGAGATTTACCAGATCTGGATCTGAATGGATGTCAGCCTTGTGTCTGTGTTTTAAGACATTTTCTATGTCTCGTAGCTTCAGATGCAGTTGGCCTCAGTGCTGCTTTTGGGAAAAGGGACTGATGTGCCATTAATGGTTGTGTGAGAGTGTATTTTAAAATCAAGATGTGTTTTGCCAACTTTGATACTGTCCCTTCTGCTGAAACGTTGTTTTGTTACATTAGTTATAAACTGGATAAGGGAATGCCATGTAAAGCCCACCTGGATGCGTTCCTGTGTGATCTGATCTAGGTGTTCCTGCTCCGGCAGGGGGATTGGACTAGATGATCTTTCGAGGTCCCTTCCAATCTCTAACATTCTGTGATTCTGTGAAATTCAAGCATCTCCATTCATAGGTGAAGCTTCTGCATTGATGTGACCTGATTCACTGGTTTTGGCTGGGGTCTTGTGTTTTTTATAGACTAGCTTCTTCAGGTTGGTTCATAAACACAGACCAAGATAAAACTATTGACTTAATTCCAATTTTGTTTTGAAATGTCATTTGTTGTGTTTTGTTCACAGATCCTTCTGTTCTAAGAGGTGCTTTTGTAGGCCATACAGATGCAGTGTGGGGTCTGGTTTACAGTGGAGCACACCAGCGTTTGCTGTCCTGTTCAGCAGACGGCACTATACGCCTATGGAAAGCTACAGAAATTGCTCCAGCTCTCAATATATTTAATGATAATCAAGGTACATAAAATTGCCCTGCCTTAAAGTGCATGAGCATCACTGTTCAGACAGACATAATTTTGACTACTGAGTAGAAATCCTTCTTGTTTGTTTTGCTGGATTTTATATCTTTATGAATGTTTTTGGGAAGAGTAAATTTTGTGTCCCTTCTCCTTTGACACCAGCTGAATAGATACCTACACACAGGGGGACAATCACATATGTCTAAAAGCCAACTGCTGCAGGTGATCTGCAGATGTTACTAGAACCACGGAGTGTAATGTATCAACTCCTCCATAGTTCAGATTCAAGCTGAGTTTCCATTCGGCCCTTGCTTTTGGGTTGTCCAGAATAAACAGCCCTTCCTTCCCCCAACAGAGGTTTGGAGTAGCCATTGCTTCGTCTCAGGCCAGTGTACCTTCCAGATTATGTTCCTTGTGCCTCTAACACAGAGATTCTGTGTTTGATTTTCCGAGTTTGCGCATTAACCAAATAGCAATAACCTAGTCGTACTAAATGCTGCTAGTTGAAAAAATTGCCTCCTTTGGATTTGGTTACTGAAATGTCATGCACAAATCAAAACCCTACTGTTTAGCGCCTTACTTTCTTGATGTTGCTGTCTCAGTAAGTGCTCTAGAATGAGCCTGTTGACGTTGCCAAACTCTCTCAGAGCTGATGGTCCTAAAGGCAACCCACAAACCAAGACAGTTGCTTGGCTCTTTAGAACAACTTCAAGGCAAATTAAACTTTGGCATAACTGAACAGACTTATTGAATTATGCTGTAAAGCTCATCAGATATGCCTTTACTTGTTAGTTAAAATAGACTGAGCAAAATAGAAATGTTTCATATATTTTAATCCTTGTAGAACTGTTTCCAAAGGTCTGTAGGGTTTTGTGAAGAGCAGAACTGGTTTGCTTCCAGCCTGCCTACCTGTCTTCTTTGAAAACTTGCTGATAGTGGGTTTTTTTTGTTTGCATTTCTTAGAGCTTTTTTGGTTTTTGTTTTTTAAAATTATTAAATTAAGGGGGAGGGGGGAGTAGTCTTGCCTCACAGACCTAATCTTTGGGTTTTTTATATTCCAAACTAGAATGAAACCCAGTTGTGACATTCAAAGATCCTTCTTTGAAACTGAGTTTTCCTGTGGCTTGTTGAGAACCTTGAACAAACTCTCTAAAATATCTAGCAGTCATCGTTTAAGTCCTTTAGATTAACCATTGTAAGTTTACCAGGAAGCTGCAGATAAGCAGGCATGGCAGTGGTAGAAGAGGTCACTTCAGAAACAATACACATTTTCTTACCACACCAATCCTTTCTGGCTTTTGTGGAGTACCTGTAGATAAGTACCACCATTCCTGAGCAGCATTCCTGAGGTCGTGTGTCCAAAAAAGATATTTCTCCCATGAATCTTAGATTTAGACAGAGCTGATGATATTCCTGCATTATCTGGATCCATGGATATTAGATTGCTTAACATTCACTGTCTTCCTCCTCCTCCTCCTGGCATCTGTTGTAACTGTTGTTCTTTCACATAGCGGGTGATGAACAGGACATCTGAGGAGAAAAATTCCAAGGGATATATATATATATAATGCTGACAGTGTCAGCTTATAAAATTTGCACCTGGAAAGCTTTGAGGTTTTTTCAAGCTCTGAATTTGCCTGGGTTAATAACACGAATCATCTGTCATGTAAATGATATTACCACTTCAGTTTCATGTGCTTTTACTTGGCGCAGTGCAGGTGAGTTTGAGAATTGCTCTTATAGTTAAAGGAAGGAAAAGTGGGCAGGGAGTTCTTACTTTCTTAATTTCAAAGTAGATTTCTGTCCAGTTACAGTTCCAGTTACAGCATTTTAGTAAGGAATGTTGTTGATATGCATATCAGAAAAATAGGATTAAAATAGTGATCATACAGGGCAATCTTTTTAGATGGGCATAAAGTAAATTGTAAAAGGCAACATTTCTTTTCATAATCATGGCTCTTTTGATATTAAAGTGCTTACTGGTTGGGGTTTTTGTTTTGGTTTTTGTTTTCTTTATATCAACTGAATCTTACGAAAACGTTCTCTACATTGCTTTCTAGAAATGGGAATCCCTTCATCAGTAGATCTTGTGAGCAGTGACCCAAGCCTCATGGTAGCATCATTTAACAGTGGACACACTAGCATTTTTAACATGGAGACACGTCAACGAATTCTTACCCTGGAGTCCAGTGTGGATACTAGTACGTATTAAAAAAAAATATAT